CTATAATTCAGCAATTCACAGTATAAAGGAGCTTAATAAAGTTTCTAACAGAAGATATGAAAATTGAACGGCTTGGATTACAAACTGGTCATCCTTCGTCGTTATTATAACGATGCACTTTATTCAAAATAATAACAATTAATAGGCTGTTTACTATTTTTAAATTATACTTTACCTCGTAAAATTAACATATGCTTCCAGCTTTTACAGCTTTTACATTTGCTGCGTTCTGATTTCTGCGTGATCAATATAACGCAGAGAAATGCCAACAGATATTAACATCTACTCGTCTATGAGGTAATTCGTGGCATACGTAGCTGGGAAGACAATATTTGTGCTCGCGAATACCGAAATTATTCCCTGGATACCATGTACCTGAGTGCCTGAATAATTGATCTCATCATATGAGATATCCGCATCGGCGTCAAATGCCAACGATAAGACCAAGTTTGTAGACTTGAACGTGTCTTGTTCGTACAATCGCTTCACGGGCACATATTGCGATTAAACGTTTATTTTAGTCGAGCAAGCAGCATTTGATAACATTCAAAAATTTTATTTTGGAAACGAAACGGATAAATACTCCCTTCCAAGCTGTGCACGCGCGTTCCAGCGTCGAATCCATCATTCCGGAATTTATTTTCTGGTATCTGGTTTAATATCCGCATTACATTGCTTTGAATTTCAGACGCTGACTGAAAAATGCATTCTTCTCATAACTCCTTTTATTCGAGAAAATAGAGAAACGTCACGACGTAACAAATCAAGCGAACGCAGGTGTGCTTCGACGTTTCGATTTTCATGTTGAAAAAACTCTTTCGGTAGAATGACTGTAGTAGCATCAGATCGAACCAGTTTGTCTCGCGAAGACCTATTCAAAACTTAAAAATGAAATTGTCGAGTGACAGTTTTATTAGGCGAAAGAAATTCTTTGCGATCGTATCTTCTTGGGTGCACATTTTATATAACTTTAAATAAAATTTAAATAAAAATATTTGATGAAACGAGAGCATATTCTGCAGAAACCTACGAGACTTTTATGTCACTGGACGTGTATTACAATGTCCACATAGTGCCATTCCTGAAACGATTTCCACACTCCTTAAATTCTCGAACCATAAAAAAAACCTTTATAAAAGTGAAGTTTTATTAAAGAAGACTAGTAATAAATGTTTGATTAAATTTTCTTCTGACTCATATTTATAATAATGTAAACACAGTCAATCGCTAAGTTATCAAGGCAAATCTCTGATTCTAAAAGTGCATAGACAGTTCTTTGCATTTTTTACACATTCGTTTGGTAGTTATCGCGAACTTTAGAATTTAATGGTATTTCTGTTGAGTTTATATGATTACCAAAGTTATGATTTAATACACCATTTGTATTTAGCCGTCACAAAGTGCACCACGATTGCATCTTGATTCGGTTTCGACCGAGTAACAGTATTCTATAGGAATATGAAACACATCTGGTCTTTTGTCTATCTACACCAGCGATCACTGAAATTGCCACGAAGTTATAGGACACTAGTGTACTAATTCTAGTATCCAGTAACCTCGCGAGAACTTCAAGGATCGCCAGTATCTCTGTTCCTGTACATACTTAAATTAGTAGTAATGGCCATTCCAATGCGGCTCTTGAAAGAGATTTAAAACTTTCAAGACCAAAGATTCAAACGGCTGCAAATATTACTCGAATCCACTCTTTGAAAGTCTCATCGTAAAGTCGTAATAGATCCTGAAAGTTTTCTGATATTAATTCGATCCGACTTATGAAACACTTAATAAAGTTCTGAAATATAGGGGATGAAAATTGATTGCGGAGTAGAGATTGAAATTTTAAATATATTATTCTTGACGCGGTGATTAATAGTGCGATGTGAAACGAGCATTAAGGGGCCATTCTACCTTGTAGGCATGAAAAATACGTGTTTCTTTGTGATTTTTTTTTGCGGGTTATTAAAGAGCGATTAATTCCGGATTTTGTAGATACATTTATTATATATTTAGCTATATTTACGAATTTTTGCAACGCATAATATCTATTGATTACGCTGTTTTTGTTGATCATCAAACAACAGTTTTTACGAACGGCACCCGACTGCGTACGTGATATCTTGCGAACAAGTTATTCGAAATCCTAAAACCAACGATATTCTTAATATAGATGAGTGTGGTTATAGCATGAACTAGGATCTTGTCAAAAAAACAAAAAATGGCAAAATGGCAGCTATTTTACGAAAAAATACTGAATATTTTCATATATTTGGTTGCTTTTTTGTTAATAAAAGAAAAAGTATTGCATATATCGCAATTATCCTAGTTCATGCTATAGGGAGACCAGTTCTGAAGATACTGTATAAATTTGATGTTGATATCTTGAATAGTTTTTTAGTTATCACGCACGCAGTGCCGAAAGATGTAGTTTCGAGAAAAACAACTTTAAAGTTTCACGTCTAGTTGTTATACCTACGCGCGGTACATTTCAGCAGGCTATAACTTCGTTAGGTTTCCGAATTTCAATTTAATATTTGGTAGACATATTTTCGAGACTACATACTAAAGGAAAATGCAAAAAAAAAAATATCGATTTTTTTAATCCCACAAGGTAGAAAGGCCCCTTAACTGTGTCTGAAAGCTGACATAATTCTTCCAATTGCGAGAACCGTATACGTCCAGTGGTTGCACGTAGTTTGTATCTATCTTTCAGTATACTAAAATACTTTGCTCCTTTACCCTCGTACGTGACTTCTTTCACCGTATTTTCGTAGTGCCAGCTCCGAGAATCCAGAAGCAGAACTCTTGCGGGGTAATAAACTATTCGCAAGCATCTTTTAAAGAAATCAAAAGTTAATTTCCCTTATTTTCAAGCTACGAGAAAAATGTTAGAACGAAATAAATCTTGTTGCCGCGGTAACTTGACTTTTCCGTCGAAAAAATTATTTTTTAGATATTTTTAACATTTTTTCACGGAACGAAAATATTCTCCGCGATATATTCGTTCTTTGATCCCATACCTTTACTAAAAATTCTTTAGCCAAAAACGTCGAACCATAAATCTTGATTTCTCGCTTGTAAATTCGATCGATAAAAATCTATATCGTGAATAACGTCCTCAACTATCGAGCCTCTATGAATTTATTAGAACGCTAGCATAAATTTGTACGGTGTCTATCTTCAATTCTTTCGACGTACCGCTGTTCTAATATTCCACTTTCTTCTTCGTACTCGCGTAGGTAGTGAATTCTTTACTAGGAATATATACGCGTTCTTCTTGTTTTATTCTGTTTACCTTCGATTAACCAGTCCAAATCAACAACTTGGATCCCCGTTTGCTCGAGCCTCTAATAAATTTCGAAATACGTTTGCTCTTCAAAGACAAAAACCGAATACTCTATTAAATTGAGCAAAACGTCTTTGAAATAGTCTGTTAATAGATGTTGGCTACTGAGTCACGTCTACGAAAGCAGAAGCAGAGTCACAACGTTTATGGGATTAATATTCAGACCTTTTTATGAACCCTTTAGACTATTTTACATGCACTTTGAAACTATTATTTTATAAATTACGTATGCTAAGCTTGAGCGTCTTGAAAATATGGAACACTCGAAGGGTGAAGAATTGAAACGACGATAAATCAAGTAGGCTCGCGCACGAAAAATTTTATATGAATTTAAAATACCTTTGTCTTCGCAATTTATGTTCCAGGGCCGTTCCTGTAGGCCGCTGAGCTTTCTCGAAGAAATTGCGAACGTGACGAAACGGTCCAAGAGTCGTGGTTCGACCGAAAGAAAAGAAAAAAAGGAAACGTATCCTGTAACGATTCTAGGACGTCGATTCCAATGAGGATTGTCGGAGAAAACGATTGCGACTGCGAACAAAAGCATTCTTGTCCCCGTTCCAACTAGCGAATATCTGAAAACAATTTTCTGCTTGTCCCCCGGAACGCCAACATTCGGGAAAGTGGCTCTCCCGTGTGATATTTTCTGTGAACCCACAGCTCTTCTAACAGTATTAATAGAAATGTCCCTTGAATCTGACTTGCTCTCGTGCTCGCGCGACACGAAATAGACTTTGAAATCGTTTACAACTCATACGCGAGGAAAGGTCCTTTTCGAGGTTGTTCGCCTGGAATAATAAACCCCTAACTTTCGATGGCTCGATCCTGTACGAAGGTTTTTGCGAAAACATTGTGCGTTTCCCGAGCGTTCGAGGCGTTTCGATAGATCGAAATAGAGGGAAAGATTCTCCGTAAAAACCTTTAAATCGATAAGCAATTAGAAAAATTGTACTCGATCCAAGATACGAGATCCGACGAGGGTTTATCGTAACAGGAACAAGTTCCCTTTGACTGGAAAGAAATGAGACGCGGACGAAATTATCGTTCTCAAAGGGGAAGAAAAGCCCCGAAGAATGCGCATTAAAATTCTACATAGATAGGGACGCGGCGAGGAAATGGAAACTGCCGCGTTGCACTAGCCCCGAGCGAAGACGCTGAAAGAAGAAAATAGGGCGAAAAGTACAAGGAGCAAGGGTATAGAAGTTCGACAGGGCAACAATCTCCGCCTCCCGTCTTCGTCACCGACCGCTAAGTATATTCAAATGCACGCGAACAATAGAACGAGCTAAGATATACCGAACTTCTCGCTAACACTGTCGATCAAACGCGACCAAGTCGGCTGGAACTTGCTGGTGGGAATTCGAGGGGAGGATTTCTTTAACAATACCGCGCGAAACTTTTCGAGGTAATTACCCACCGGACCCCTGGAACTTAAAAAGCGATGAACACAATGGAGAAGATGCGGCTTTCATGGCAGAAAAACGCGACAGAAAAGCGCGGGTAGTTTGCCAGATTTCGTGGGAAGAAAGGACCTCCGGGACGAGTAATCTCGCGTAAAAAATACTCTGTCCAAACAGTGTCCACCCAAAGAGGAGCCTATAAGTTAAGCAAAGCAGGTAAACAAAAGAATTAGAGGCTTTGAGACGCTGAGACCCGCATCGAAGCGAACAATTTTAATTGAAATTTAATTGGGTGAACGGTTCGAACGTTGCCACGTGTTAAATGAAATGGAGTTATTAATATTGATAAATAACGATATATAAAGATACAAAATAGTTTGAGCACGATGGTGATGGCGAGGAGAGTGTATCGTCGTGTCGGATGTTTCAGTATTAAAAGAAAAATCCCGATTAATTTTGAAGATAGCCTGCACGAACAAAACGAATTGATATAGCGGTCCAATGGTCGAGTAAACTGTCGAAGGGCGGGCCGTTAGAGAAATCTGTCCAGGAATCGGAAGCGGAAGCGAGCAAGGTCAGCTTGATAAGCTTGGTTTTTCGCATTTCCTTCGAACAGGAACAGAATCTACGTAGCATAACGATAAATGTCACCGGCTTCATTATACCCAATGGGACATTTTCTTAGATACTGCTTGCAACGATCGTTAGAGCCGAATCGGCAAACCGCGAAATGAGTCTAAGAATGGCAATTATGTGACTGCTCGGATGATAGTACCAGCACCGAAGACCAAGGAGTCTTCTTGGAAATTCTCAACATAAAATTTCACTATTTCTGAACTGAAAAAATGTTACGCGTCTACCTGTGCGGAATGCTGATGTGATAGATGCTAACTTTGAAAAAAAAACTATATTTAAAAATCAACTCTATCGTGCGTGTAACGATGAAACTAAATAAGAACATTTTCTTTGAATTATTGCAACATTCCTACTCGGAGAAAGATACGACGGAAAATACGTTGACTTTAGTGTTCGATGTAATATATAAATACGTATAGAAATTGACTGTAAAATAAATACGTGTAAATAGATATATAACGTCTGTTTGATCTAAGTGAAAGAATAAATTTGTTCCTGACTAACAGTTGATTAAACCGACCGAAGAAATGCAGGCCCTCGAAGTATTCGTGAATTCCACGCCCGATCCCTGGAGCACCACATCGTGGATGGATAATTACACCTACTACACCACAGATATCACGGATCTGCAACAGAGGAACCAATTTGTGCTCCCCTGGTGGAGACAAATGATCTGGACGTTATTGTTCGCGGGTATGATCATCGTTGCCACCGGAGGCAATCTCATAGTGATTTGGATCGTACTGGCGCACAAGAGAATGCGAACGGTTACCAATTACTTTTTGGTGAACCTCAGTATCGCGGATGCGTTGGTGTCCACCCTGAACGTCACGTTTAATTACATCTACATGCTGAACAGTCACTGGCCTTTCGGCACGCTCTATTGCAAGATCTGTCAATTCATCGCGGTGCTTACCATATGCGCCAGCGTCTTCACACTGATGGCGATTTCTATAGACAGGTAAGCACTACAATTCAATAAATCTAGGATTCTAGGAATCCTTGCTTGTTGAACAGTGTTTCGACCCACTTTCCACCACCATGTAATCTTTCATCGGTGAAATCTTTCCAACAGAAACGCGTCCAAATATTATCTCGGTTGGAATATTTTCTTTTAATTATACGCGACTCGAATCATTTTCAATAACTTTTTAATTAGATGGAATTCAAATTAATCTAAATTGGCGTTTCTCAACCTTTTTAATGCACGACCCAATTTGTTTAATGAGTAATTCGTTGCGGGCCACCGTAAAAATTTTTCAATAAAAATATCTGGTTTTACGAATGGATACTAGAAACGTAAGATAATTTGGAAAATATAGAGGCTAGCTGCTCAAATAGTTTAGACATATATCTGGATAAATTCTCTAAGACAATTTTATTCAATTAATTATCTTATCTAAATATTCACAGTTGTAAAATTATAATTACACACCGCACAAAAATATTTTACTTTCGTTTGGATCTCGCTTTATACATATGTAATGGTTAATCTTATTCGTATGAATACGAAGTTGTTTGATTTAACAAAAGGCATTGATCAATATGATGTCTGTGTTCTCTGGAACAATACCCGACACCAGATTGCAAAGGCGATTTTGCAAAATATAAATATAATGGACATCGAATGTTTCTCTCCCCCAGTATATTCACTCAGCTTAACGGGCACAGATTACCATTTATTTAAATTCTCGAATCATTCACTGACCTGAAAAATTGTTTACAAAAGAATCGATGAGGAACAGACGTTCCTGCATTTCATTAATGGAGAGAAAATTGATTTGTATATATTATTGACGCTTCTGTCGTGTCGTCGAAAATGTAGAACTATTTTAATTACGTACCTTTATTTTAGCCATAGCTGCATTTATTAGTAATATAACAATCATTTTATTAATCACCGTTCTATTCGGCCATGTGCAAAAACGAGTACTCGTATTACTATTTTTATGTAATAAAAATTCAGCTCGCGCTACATTCTCCATCAGGTAACACGTTGGATGGATACTGGAAAGTAGTTACAAACGTTAAAAATTCCGAATCCATTGTCGCGATAGAGTGAAAATTAAGGACCGTCCTTTTAAATTCTCATTTGTCATTTATGTACTCCTAGTTCTCTTTTTTCGCTTGTCATTCGCACGCATTCGTCACGGGAATTTATTTTAAGAGATGCCCGTGTCGATATAGCGAGCCAGAATCCATTCGTATCGCCACAAAACTAATTGTTCGACGACTTGTTGAAAGCTACACACAGAAAAGCATCCGATAAATAAATTCTTTCAATTTTTATTTCTATTTTTAATTCTTTGAATTAAAATTTTTTCGACTACTTGATAAAGAAAGTGATTTAAAAAAAAAAATGTTAATTTTATAAGTGTCTACGACTATGACATTTTCGATACAATTTTTTACGAACAAATTCTGACTCGCTGTGCGTCGCCTCGACCGCGATGAAAGACACCTTGCAAACAGCGTCAAAACGACCGATGATTCTGAATAGCTTGATAATACCGATACTACAATTTATCGAAGAATTATGCTTCAACGGCTCGAAGCTAAGAACGTGAATGGCGCATCGCGCCCGCTGCCTGTGACACTCCCGATAAATGATAATGTGCGTTATCGAGACCACGACAGAATCTGAGACTCGAGAATTTCCGTCGAGGAAATCTAGGTTTCGATCACGGAAGAATTTTCTTCTGTGTTCGTATAAACACGCGTACGCGTGTACACTATAACCCATTTTAACCTATGAATACATATACTGATCGAAAGGGAGTTTAAACGGCGAACGATAACAAACACCATGAATGCGCAAAAAAGAAAAAATTTTATATTAAAAGTAAATAAACGTCAAAAAGCCACCGTAAATCGAAAAGTTATAAACGATAGCGAAGTTTCAATAATCCTGTGGGTACTAAATTTATTGTCAGGGTTAGAAATATTTTGAAAAATAAAGTGATTACATTTTAAATATCATCTATTGTGATTTTCGAAAGTAATATTCCTACAGTTCCTCTTAATAAGAATGAAATATTAGGGGAAACATTTCTCTTGTACTTTTCCTTCTTCCAAGAACCCCATTGATACATGCGAAAACTCCTGTTGCAAGACGTTTAAATGTCGCGGTTTGAAATATGTCTCTGTTTAACGCGGTCATGGGTAAAAGACGAATTCTTTTCGTAAATCGAAGGGAAGTACGGAAACGAATTCTTGAATCGGTAGTTAAAATACGTTATACGTACAGAGGAGGGTAGAACAAGGGCAAGTAGATAAGTAAGCGAAGAAGAATGTCGCGGATAAGTGGGAGCAAATCAGTTTCCTGACTTTGACGCAATCACGACGACCGTATAACAAATGGAAATTGGTTCCTGCGGTAATGTACATCCGTATGGAAAATGGAAAACGATTCCCATCGAGATAACGCAACCGCCAACAGGTCGCATTAACGGTTGAGAGATCAACTGAATAATTGCTTGCCCGTTTGCTCTATTCAGAAAGAAGCTCGCCCTCTCGGTAAAGTACGTTGAAGCTCATTAAAGTGCAGCCAAGCGTTTCTACATCCACACGCGAACGGTAGACGGGTCAGACGCAACCCCCGGTACAATTGTTCCGCGGATAAATCGAGTTTCAGCGAGGCAAAGGCGATTGGGAGGCTGCGACACCCGCCGCAGCAGTAAATAACTTTTCCGTGTTCAAAACTCAAGAACTATTTGCGAAAAGAACCGCTGCTATTCGACCCGTTTACGATGCTCGACTGGTAAAAATCGTCACGCGGCTTAAAGCGGAAATCAGAGTACTTGGTCCCCAAAAATAGACGAGGCTGGTAAACCATTGCTTCTAATCGCCACATCCATTTAATCCAAGAATCTGTTTCGAATTCTCTCTATTCCATTCTCATTGCCCGATATAACGGTGACTCCAAAAACTGGGGCACCCAATAACTCCTTTTTTTTACCAAAAACATAAAAAATTCATAGAAGAGAAAGTTAACTCCCCCACGTGGGGCTATCGTTTGATGACATAACTTTCCCGTTCGGTGCAACGGTGCAATATGCATTTGCACTCGTTTCGCGAATTAAGACGTTTGGAGGAGCAAAGGCGTGTTTAGAGAAGTGCGCGTTTCAAACACTTTTTATAAGGGCGGACTTTAATTATAACGATACGAGAACTTTTCGTTGAATTTACCCTTATGAAAAACAATTGTATTGGAGTTCGTGTTTCCAATGACGAATTCGTTGAAATACTTCAAAGTTACATAGAACTATTCTTACATTTCTTTAAAACGTTCACAGTTTTATACGATCTTATGCATTCATTCTTATACATTGAAAAACTATTATAGTCTATGAAAATGGATCCCACGATCGAATCTATTAAACCAAAGTTATGAAAGGAATTAACGTTCCCTCGATCTTCTCGTTTAGTTCTACCAAGCAATTTTACCAAAGGAAATGAGGTAAAATTTCGTATCCCGACACATAAGCTATTAGATCCGAATATCATGAATATGATTACCTCCCCGCCCTACCATTCCAGCGCACCACCAGGGTGTATTAGACTTGAAATAACTAGCCTTCTCAACGTTATTCGATCCATAAAGGAACGGGTGGAGAAGACCCATCAGACTCTAGTTGCTATAAGAAAATTTCTTCTTTTTTGCTACCAGAGTCTAATAGAGCCCCTCCAGAAATAGGACAATTGATTCCAGGGATCTGGAAAAGAAGATGATTAACACTTACTGACTAGCATATTCTTCGCTAGTTGAAAAAGAGTTTCTGAATAACAATTTTCTAAATTATTGGTTCGAACGTACCAGGCAAATAACATAGCCAGTTCGTTCGTTCAAATTTACTCCACGCGATTTCTTTCTGTTGAGAAAAATGAAAAATAATGTTTACCACTAGTGATCAAATATCTCAGACAATAGAGAATAATTAGACTAACAATAAGCTGGTTACGACTTTGATCTATAAATATAGTCTGCCAATCAATTATTTGAGAAATGGTGGCTGGTCAAAACATAAAGTTCCGTTTTAAATTGTGCAGCAAAGAAGCAGAGATAGAAAGAGAAATGGTGGTCCCTGATTAAGATTTATCTATCCCAGATAAAAAAAGAAACAAGTCTAATCTTAGTGTCTGCTTTATAGATCGTGCTACGTCCCTGCCGATTTTATACCGTTTCTTTTGATGAAGTAATTGCTTGACAGAACTAAACAGGGAGATCGAGGAAACGTTGATACCTTCTAATTCCTTGCTTTAGTAGTCTCGATCGTAAAAAAAACCATGAAGAATGGGAGACTGATGGAACTCTGCTCGTAACAGCCATCCAGGAGTGAGATTGGGTAATCCTTAAAACGAGCGATCCTTCGCCCCGAGTAAAACTTATAACAATTGTTTTAAACGCGATCGAGAACTTTTACGGGATCGTTAATAACCAATTTCAGCGGTCAACGCAGTTATAGGTATACTAAAAAAAATTCTTGTTTAAAAAAATTCTTGCAAAAAATCATTCCAATACTGTCTCTGTAAAAAAAACGTGACAAACTGTGGACGTTACTCAATTTCAGGGGTTGTTTCGGAACGCTAAAACATCGATCAACGGTGTCTATTGTACGTGTAATCATCCTTTACGTCAGTCGTTCTTCTGGAAGTAGCGCTTCCGACGGTACCTCCGTTGAAGCAGATAAATCACCGCGGCAGATCGGTCATAATATGATTCAAAGTGTCAAGTGTAACCTGAATAACCGTGATGCGAAGAGCGATGTCAATCAAATCACCTTTGCCGTCGACGAACTTGTCGATGCCGATCGAAAATCGATACATTGACACTGTTGCTTAAAACGTACTTAATATTACGCGAACCCTGTATAATATTTGCCCGGATAGATCATTAATAGGATTTTCCAGAAACAATTGCATCGACGAACAATATTAAACGATTACGTCATGTAAATAATT